CCCCAAAACCCCAAAACCCCAAAACCCCAAAACCCCTTTTAGCATTTTTGGTATTGAAACTTATTTAGACTCAGATTCTATGATTCTCACAGCTGCTGCTTCTTGCTGTCGAGTAACTACTGATGCTATTTTAAGCTTCTTGAGCATTTCATAATCATCATCCACACGCTTGTTCATGTAGTTCATTCTCCCCTGGTCTCTGTAGAAGGAACGGGTCTTGAAAATACTACTAGGCTTTATTTCATCTTGCTCTATTTGTCTCGCAGCTCTTTTCTCGGCAAATTTTTTAAAATGGGATCTATAATCGTCTTCAGCATCATCAGCAGTGTATCTCTTGTGTCTAACAGAGTCAAGGTAGTTTGAGGTGCTTTCAAGATTTGATACAAAATTTAGGGAACTAGAAGCAGGGTACCTCTCTGTAGTCTCCCCGATAGTTCCTGTCTTTGGCTGACTCATATAATCAAGGTTCAAATTCTTGCTATCATAATCCTTGGGAGGTGAGGTATTTAACTGCTCTATTTTCAACTGAGAGTCATTACTTGCTTCTTCACTCTCAGGCCCTCTTTCTTCAATAGTAGGAGAAGATGGGATCAGCTTACTGCCTGTTCCTTCATAATAACCAGCATTTGAGGAAGATAACTGGCTACTATGCATATTTTGCAACTGATACCGGCTATATAAATTGGAAGCTAGCATTGACGAATCATCTGCTTGTCCAGAAATATCAGGTGTCGAGTTGTCCTTCACTGTGTGCGATAAAGGGTTTGATTTTGTATCCATGTATGATTTTAGTCCAGTCAAATCAGTTGTCTTATCATCGAATAGATTCCCATTTGAAGAGTGGTCAAATTTGTTCATATTAGTATCGTTCTCTTTCCCTCCATATTTTGGAAAAGGTATTCCGTAGGAATTTGAAGAATTCTCCAAAGGAGCATAAGGACTATAGCTTGATTTTCTGGCATTTTCTCTAGTCGATGTACGGTTATAAGGAGTTGTGTTTTCAGAGGAAATTTGATCACTCCCTCTTTGATCTGTAGAGTGGGGTGTAATGTTTCCTGATTTTCCCATTCTTGATTCTTCATAAGATTGCTCTTCGATAGGTTCAACATTTTGGTCTATTAAAATCTCATCTCCGCCCTTATTGGTACCATATTTTGAAAAATCATATGGATCATGAGTGCTCATTGGATTAAAATTGGCTTTATCCATATCCATCTCATTATTTATTCTGGCATCAGGAATATTAGAGAATTTAAGAGGTCGACTAAGACCTCCTTCATGGGAACTTAGAATTGATTCCTGACTTTTGAGATTATCCCCTGTCAAAAGTTTATGCCCTTTACTTTGCATTTTTGACATCAAGTTCGCCTTGAAGGCTTTGTGTGGAGTGCTCTCAGCACTACTGCTGATAGTATTGAAGTTTGAGCCATAATTTAACTTCATACCTGTTCCTGAGAATGAGTCAATAACATCAACTCCTGACTTAATGTTCCCGAAATAAGTATGCTCATCACTTGACTTGGAATTATCATTGAGATGAGCATGATGTATTGGGCTTTGCCCAAAAACAGTTGACTCTAACTCTTCGTCAGGAAGTATTCCACTTCTAGAGGATTCTCTCATCCCTGGAGAAGGTCCCAGTGTTGCAAATTTTTCATCAGAATATTTGTAAGGATAAGCTTTCTTTAGGACATCACTTTTCAACTGAATTTCATCAAGGTTATTGTTATCGTGTGCTATAGAGCTCCTGAATTCAGCTGTATTTGTTGGAGACTCAAATTTGCTTAATGTGAGATTCCCTCCAACTAACTCTTGATTAGTGGGAGAAATAGCAAGGTTCTTTTTAGTCAAATGATAGTTTGCTCCACTTTTATTTGACTCAACTGAACTTGGAATCATCATTTCATCTTCATGAGTTGCTGTTGGTAGTTTATTCAAAGCTTTATTCAACTGAAGTCCTTTAGAATATAGTCTATTTCCTACTTTGGCATTGAAATTGGAAGGTTCCATCCCAGATTTAATATATTTAAATTCAATTTAAATCTTGAAATTTGGGGTTTTGGGGTTTTGGGGTTTTGGGGTTTTTTGGGG